CCCGAGCATGCGATCCAGGATGAGCCCGGCCCCTGGCGTTGCTTGAGGTGCCATGGACATGAGTTTGAGCAGCTAGAGAATGGATGGAAGTGTTCTTCATGTGGCTCCACTGACTACCACAACGTGCGCTACCCCACCAAGACGGTCACTCCCACTGGCACTTGGATGTTTGTTCCCCATACTGCAGGTTCCTCTCCTTCCTCAGCACCTTCGAGGGCTTCGAGAAGACCTAGGAGAAAGAAGAACAAGCAGAGGACGTCAGACAGTCCTCCAGATGGTGGAGATGACTTCGACTTGGAGGAGTCCTACGAACGTGCGGAGTCAGAAGCCCTGACACATGACCCGGTGATTGAACCATCACCGGCACCATCCAGGACAGGCAAAGCTCCTCATGCTGGTCCTCCCGGCCCTTCAAAGCCTGGTCAAGGACCAAAGAAGCCTACAGGACCTGGTCTACCTCCTGACCTTCGAGAACCAGTTCATGCGCCGGTAACCGGCAAGGCTGGCCCTCGACTACCACGACCAGCTGTCCTCCCCCGACAAGTCGATTCAGCGCTACCCGATCTACATGGCACCAACATGAGCTTCACAGGTGGGCAAAAGAAGAAGGACGATGACTCCGACAAGACTGGAGCTTCGTGGAATAGCAGAAAAGGTCCTGAGCCTGGGATCAAGTGGAAGACCGGTCAGTATCCACCGGTCCCATTGTGGAAGTATGATGCCAGTGACTTGAGGGCCTTCGCCAAGTACAAGAAGAAGATTGAGATCTGGCAATTGCAGATGCGGCCATTTGCCTCGGGAAAAGATCAGGCGCTCCTGCTCTACAATAGTCTGAGCGGTGAACCTGAACAAGAACTTGAACACCTCAGCGTGGACGAGCTCTACGTCGAGAATGGCGTGGCCAAGATCCTCGAGCTTTTGCAAAAGCCATTTGAACAAAGACAGATCTACCAGAAGCGTCGCTTCCTCCAGGACTTCGAAAACACGCGCCGCTTCCATGGCGAGTCGATGCGGGCCTATGTCCTTCGATTCCGGAGGGTGATGAGGTCCCTGCGGGCCGTCGGCATCGAGATCACGGCAACCTTTGACGAGGAGGCCCTCGGCTCCCGCTTGTTGGACAGGAGCGGGTTGAGCCACTCCGACCAGCGGATGGTCCTGATAGGTACCCAACAGAGTTTGGCCTTCGAGACCATTGCAGAGACCCTTGCATTGCAGTGGCCTGAGTTCCGTCCACCTCCACCGATCTTCACGAAGGAAGGTAAGGGCACTGGCAAGTACGGCAAGACCGCATCAAGCTACAAGACCTGGCCAATGTCCTGACAGTGACGGCTCGCAAGTTGAGCGGTGTGACATTGGGCCGCAAGTTTACCACCGGCGGCAAGAAGGTCAAGAAGACTCCTGAGGAGCTCCGCAAAGTCACGCATTGTTCAGCGTGTGGAGCCCTGGGACACTGGGCTGCCGATAGTGAGTGCCCAATGAACAAGGGCGGCAAGGGATCCAAGGGAACTGCCAAAGGCTCTTCGAGTTCCTACCGCTCCTCGACCTTTCAGCCAGCCAAAAAGGGTGACAAGCCGCACCACGTCAGCGTAGTCCAACACCATGAACATGGAAGCCTGCAAATCACCGATGAGCCCGAATCCACCTATGGGATGAGCTTTACTACCTATATGGTCTCGGTCCCCTTCACCATCCATGAGATCAGGAACAACACCACCGGGGAAAGCCTCGCAGGATTCATGGTTTTGGACTCCGCCTGTCAGCGAACTTGTTGCGGTGAGATTTGGTTTGAGCGCCACAAGAAGTTTTTAGAGCACCACTTCATGGCTTGCCACACGATCCCCACCAAAGACATGTACCAGTTCGGAAAGGGAAGCCCTACGGTCGCCACCACTCGTGTGTACATGCCCACGGTTTTTGACTGCAACCCCTGTTTGTTGGGAGCTGGACTTCTACCAGAGGACATTCCACTTCTCGGGAGCAACAGCCTCATGGACAAACTTGGAACCATCATCGATCTCCCGAATCGGTCCGTTCGTTTTACCAGCCTGGGTTGCACTGTTCCTTTACATGTCAGATGTGGTCATTTTTGTATTGCACTTTTTGACGTCGTTCATCACGAAGCAGTTCACTCATGGCATGTTTGGAAAGAGTTCACCAGCCAAGAGCTTTGGCATGACCCCGATCCTGAGCTTCTGTTGCCTCCGAAGCCCATGAAGGATCATCTGACGATCATCGCCCCCAATTCGGAGCCCGGCCATGCAGTCGACGCCAGCGCCATGGCTGATCCACTGGAGACGAATGGTGCATCGCCTGAACAAGTTCAAGAAGAACGTGTGGATCATGATGGCCGCGGCAGTGCGCATGCACATCATGCCCAGAGCATGGTTGGCAGAAGCAGTTCCACCAACAACGGACGTGCCCCCTCATCCAGACAAATGCGACCACAAGGACATCAAGAGGTACGGCAACATGCACGGTCGCTTCGGCAAGTGCCGCAAGTGCATGCGGACATGGAAGTGGAACGAAAGCAAAGAGGAATGGGTCGTATGGGCTGGATCGGCAGGCTACTCTGCACGGTCGTCGCCATTGCCACTACCGCCCTCCAGCAAGGAGAAGGACACCAAGGTTCCGAAGGGCATGAAGGCAAAGGCAAAGCCCAAGATGAAGAGGAGAACTACCACGAAGCCAACCACTTCTTCCACAGCGGCTTCGAGCGCCAGCACGGAGACTCGTTACTGGACCAATTTCCGGGAGGAGTTCGACCTCAAGATGGACCACTTGACCCCGGAGCAGGACTACGAGGTCTTCCAGATTTGCGAGCAGGGTTCACCGCTGGATCGGGAACCTCACAGCTGGGCGCATCACGCTTTCCTGTACGAGGAGGGCTTCCGGCAGGACAGGGAGAAGTTGGAGCGGGACGCCAACATCATCCGCGTCCGGAGAATGGTGAACCTCGGGGTGATCCCGGAGGAGGCTTTGTGGCAGATCGAGGACTGGGAAGAGGAGGACAGTCTCGATTGGGGACTTGTGGACGAGATGGAAGAGCCACTTCCCATCGCCTCGACATGAAGCCTGGCACAGCCAAGCGGCTCAAGGGCGATATGAAGAGGGCCATTCAGGTCTACACCGTCGAGAACTCCACTTACCAGACCCATCATGCTGTTCACCGACCACCTCCTTGTGTTGACCTATGGGAACTCTTTGCAGGTGAAGCCAGAATGACAGAATTGGCTCACCAATACGACCTGAATGCACTCCAACCACAGGACCTTCGTTACGGGCAGGATTTCAAAGATGCCTCCACGAGGGCCTACATCATGGAAAAGGTCAAGAAGTTCAAGCCGTGGTTGATTCCTATGGGTGTTGACTGCCGCCTTTGGAACCAGTTCTCCATCAACCTCAACGGGTCCACTCCTGAACGGCAAGTTCAACTTAAAGAACTCCAACGGCAAGAACGGCCCCTCGCGCACTTCGCAACGGACGTCGCCTTGGAGCAGTACAAGAACGGCCGTTACTTCTTGATCGAGAACCCCCTCCGATCCACACTATGGCAAGAACAGGCACTACAAGAACTTCTTGCGCTACCAGGAGTCTGGTCGACTACACTGGATGCAGGTGCCTATGGAGCGGAGGTTGATGGCCAGCCCCTTTGCAAACCTATGAGATGGATAGGCAACGCTCCTGGTATGGATCTTGCCCTTCATCGCAGGCTGGACGATCTGGAGAAGCAGTACTGCATCCCCATTCAGGGCACGATCACCAGAAAGAGCCAAGTCTACCCGGACAACCTATGCCGGCAGATTTTGCAAGAGTTGCGAGCAATAGTTTTTCAGCATGAGCCCACTCGTTTTGGACGACCACTTCACCATGTCCTTGCTATCTCCTACCCCACAGCGGACTTGGATGCTTGGAATGACATCTCCAACTATATTTCTGGAGCCTATGAGCGTTCCAACAAGAGACCGTTTGACATCCCTCTGGACACCGAGATGGGCAAGAGCATTCAGCAGCTCTTCAGGATCAAGGCCATAAAGATACAAGCATGTTTTGCCCCAACTTGCCGGAGGATTCCGGCCAATGTTGATGAGTACTTCACACGTGCCGCATTCCTGCAGTGTGCGGACAAGACACGGGCAGTGGAGGTCGAAGACCTCGACGAAATTCAATTCCCAAGACAGCGCTTCAGCAAGGCAGTAGAGATTGCAGTGTTCGCCTACGGCTTCAGGTTAGAGGCCCCTGAACATCGAGAACAAGCCCAACCAGGTGAAGACAAACCTGCCATCGTTCCAGGGCTCATGACTGATGTTTCTTTCGACACCAAAGAAACCCTGGACCCAGTGATCAAGCGCTCAGTGGCACGGTTGCACATCAACTTAGGACACCCTTCACCTCAAGAACTTCTTCGTCTATTAGCCTCACAGGGTTCAGTACCATCATTGGTTATCAAAGCAGTGCAAGGACTAGTTTGCTCCACATGCCGTCGGTTGAAGCCACCACAAGAACCACGACCAGCGTCTATGCCTTCTATGGTCGCTGGCCAATTTGGCGATGAGCTTCAAGCGGACATCTTCTATATCCGCCTTTTGACCGGCCAGTCCTATCCGATCCTTGGAGTCATTGACAGAGCAACCGGCTTGCACATGGCCGGACTGATGCCCGACAGAAATGCTGACACCGCCTTCCGTGTTCTGGAAGAGATCTGGTTGAGGCCTTTTGGGGTCCCACTCTTGTTGAGGTGTGATCCAGACCACACCTTCAGAGGCAACTTTGAGAATAGACTCCAAAGCATGGGATGCATGGTTGAGCATTGCGCCCCAGAAGCACACTTCCAGATCGGCATGGTGGAGAGGCGCAACGCCATCCTGAGACTGACAATCGAGAAGCTAGTTGACCAATTTGCCACGGTCGAGCCCGAGGACATCCCACGAATCCTCATTGGAGCTTGCCACGCAAGCAACAACATGGTCTATTCCAGAGGCCGCTCAGCATATCAAGCAGTGTTTGGGAGGCAGCCTCGCCTTCCCAATGACGTCCTCTCTGACGACCATGTCCTCTCGAGCTCCACCCAGGCCTTCGACGAGAACTACAACCCCAAGCTTCGCGCAGAGCTCGTGAGAAGTGAAGCCCAGAAATGTTTGCTCGACTTGAATGCGAGTCAACAGCTGCGGAGGGCATTGTTGAGGAAGACGCGGAACACCGCCATACCAGATCTTCAACCGGGTCAGCGCTGCGCAGTTTGGCGCTGGTCCAAGAAAGGTGTTCGCAAAAGAGGAGCATGGTTGACCGCAAGATTCCTGTCATGGGATCCAGGCCATGCTGGCAAGCAAGCATGGGTGAGGCTGGGAGCTTCGACGACGTTGGTGACTGCAGAACAGCTCCGTACAGCTCATGGATTCGAAGACTGGACACCTGACCAGTCAGACATAAAGGCATTGAAGAATGCGGCTGAATCCTTCACCCAGCACATACTCGAAGATGAGAGAGGCGAACCTCCACCAGACGGACCGCCAGAAGAGTTGGCAGATGCACCACTGGAGTACGATGCTGCTCCACCGCCTCCAACGCCATCAATGATGGTTCCAGCGACACCGGCCCCAGCAACCGCAGCACCTGAAACACCGCCACCAGTGGCTCACCAGCACGCAACGGCTATCCACGTCAACGTCGATAGCCCTACCAACATCCATCACCAGCACACCACGGTGCAGATGCAGAGGTTTGGAGACCTTCCCAAGTCTCTGAGCAGATCCCGACGACACCATGGACCCTACACCAAGAGTCCACCACTTCCATCGCAGGCCGCTTCATCCCTCAAGGGGATTAGAACGCAGCCGGATGAAGTTGCACAACAAGCCTCACAGGCAGCACTGGCTGATACATCAGCACTTGCACCGGCAGCCGAATCTTCGGCACCACCTTTGGCAGACAATGCCACGGCCACACTGGGCCATACATCACCGCAGGGCACACAGTTTCACCAACAAGCCATTTTGGCAGAGGACCCGCCTGCCATCCCTACTACACCATTCTCATCCGAGAATGAGGGACATAATGCTCTACACCACCAACAGGAACATGACACAGTGGTAGCAGCATCGGCAGCTGCAGAAGCACATGGCAGACACTCACAGGGTCCACAACATTCGGCAGAACCTCCTGGCATACCTGTTGAACTACCACCGGACACAGAGCAAGAAGCAGCGCAGCAGGAACCCCTGCCGACATTACCACAGAAACGACCGTTTGACAGCTTGCACACACTCTTGCGCGAGGCAGACGGCACCATTACCACCATGAACCCAACATGGGGAGGCACACCACCACAAGGGTTCGGCAGAGCAAGCAACAGGTTCCACAAGATCTACCTCACTACACAGCAGAGACAACAAGACGTCAACGGAACAAGCAAGCCAGCAGAAGAAGCAGACACCAGCGCAGACTCTGACGAGTCAATAAGCACACCAGCAGACAAACCCAGCAGGAACATGACACGACAAGAAGCCAAACAACTGGACAGGGAAATCCCCTGGAGGCAGATAGCATCCATGCCAAGGCCTTATGTGGAGAAGTTCCTCGACTCCATCATCAAGGAAGCCAACAGCTGGTCCGAGTGGAGAAGTGTGAAGCCGCTGACTCGAGAAGAAGCCCAGAGAGTCCTCCGTGACAAGATCCTCTCCAAAAGGATCCTCAGATCCAGGGCATGCTACCGTGACAAGAACGTCGGTCAAGGCGAGTTGAAAGCAAAGTGCCGCATCGTGTGCCTAGGCCACCTAGACCCAGATCTAGAGCTTCTAGATCGGTCAGCTCCCACACCAGGCAGAACGACTGAGATGCTGATGCTGGCAATGATCACGGCCGGAGCGAACTGCGAGCTGTTTGACACACAGCTCAAATGGCACTCCTGGACGGCAGACGCCGCCACGGCTTTCCTGCAGGGACAGCAGCCCTCAGAGCGCCCCATGGAGTTGTACATGTACCCTCCAAAGGACGGCTTGATCGACATGACACCATGCTGGTCACACCCTCTATACAAGGTGATGGGCAACATTTATGGCCTGGCAAATGCACCGGCTTTGTGGTGCAATGAAGTAGTGGCAAGACTGACTAGACTCCACTACACTCGCCACACTTTCGACCAAATGCTGTTCATCAAGCGTGAAGGTCAGCAGATCGTGTCAATGATTTTGGTTTACGTTGATGATTTTTTGGGTGTTTTCAGGAGCGACTACAACATCCAGGAAGTCAAAGATGCCTTTGCCTGGGGCTCCCTCCACGACCTTGCAAACAAAGTGGTCACATTTAAGGGCAAAGAGTTACACCTCCACCAACTGGAGAATAAGCGCTGGAAGCTGAAGATCACCATGGCCAAGTTCATCAATGGCTTGGACTCCGCTAAGCTCCCGAGAGGAAGGACTTCCAGTCCGCCAGAATTGACGCCTCTGGAGCACCGTGAGTTCAGATCGGTGTCAGGCTGTTTGCAGTGGGCGTCCACACAATGCAGGCCAGAAATTGGAGCTGTGGTCAGCCTGTCCAACCAAGGCAAAGAGACCACGTGCCATAACCTCAAGGACCTCTATGACGCCATGAGCTACCTGAAGAGCTCCCCACATGAAGGGCTCTTGATGCAGGACATCCCAATGAACCAGAAGACCGTCATCGTCACGTTCAGTGACGCCTCATGGTGCAACGCCGCTCGAAGCGGCTCACAGATCGGCATCCTCATCGGCATTTGCCCTCCTGAGGTTCGAAGCCAGCCCACGGCTTTCTCGCCTTTGGACTGGAGGTCTTGCAGGGCGACCAGGGTCTGCAGATCCACATTAGCGGCCGAAGCCTCAGCAGCAGACGAGGCCTCAGACCGAGCGGCCTACTTGAACATGGCCCTGTCCGAGATCCTCTTCAATGGCCCGGCTCACCGCCTTGGCTCCATGGTCGACTATGTCCAGACCACGGACGCGAAATCGCTCTACGACGCAGTGGTGAGCGAGGCACCGAACCTCACGGACAAAAGGTCCCTTTGCAACGTGAGAGCAATTCAGGAGACAGTTGACAAGTCTCATATGCACTGGCTCCCTTCGAATTGCCAGTTTGCTGACGGGCTCACTAAAGTGAGCGAGACCTTGAGGTCCACGTTTCGGAGGTGGCTGAACGACCCATTTGCCATCCTCCTCGAGCACCCTCGCAACGAGAAGTTGCTGGCGGCCATTGCGGGTTGTGCCAAAGAAGAAAATACCAGTGAGAAATTCACGCAGTCAAATCCCTGACATGTTGGCACAACCGCCTGACTGGCCCAATCAAGGGATCCCTGAGCCTTACTGTTTTCGCACCTCGCCCCGCGGTGAAATGGGCGCAGCTTTGTTTGAGTGAGAGCCGTTCGTTCGGCTTTTGACGAGTCTCTGTCTGTCTGTCTGTCTGTTTGTCTGTCTGTGTTTGTCTGTGTCTGTCTGTGTCTGTCTGTGTCTGTCTGTGCTTGTCTGTGTCTATCTCTGTCTGTCTGTGTCTGTCTGTCTCTGTCTGT